ATAGCTATCGTTGTTTCTCCAAGTTCATAGAGTTTCCAGAGGCATGTGATTTAGGAAGTAGATACCACTCCTGCTTCCCAACATGAATCAATCTGGAAGCTCATCCAATCATTGTACATAATGGGCAACTATCTACATACCTTTTGTCAGAGACCTGAAATTTAGAAAGCAAACTTATGCAGAATAAAGGGGTCAGTATGCTGTAGAGTAATAGTTAACCAGTTAGACCTAACTAAAAATAGTCTTTAACCATCTAACAGCTCCTCGATTTATGTTATACACTACTGTACACCGGCCATTTTCCAGAATAAATACTGTAAAACACCAGTGAGTTTTAGACAAATTTAAAAATTGTAAAAATGTAACAAAATCTTTGGAACATAGTAAAATCGATGTTGAGCATGAAATTGTAACACTTTTTATTATGTTGACATGTAGGATTTCTATTATGTTGCCATTTGTATTTGTGATGGAAAAAACACTGAGTTTTTAAAAAATGGCTTTATTTTTAGTATGAATCAAAGTAGAAGCCAGGTTGTACATACAGTAGTTAAGAAAAGTGTAATACCAGTTTCACTTAAGAATGTAATTGATGAAGAAATAAAATTTATTTTATTAAATCCTGGGGAGGGGGGGCAGGGATTGAATTTGCAGGGTAGTTGGTGTTGCTTGAATTAATGGCATGTAAAGCCTCCTACAAATGTTAGTTCTGACTTTCCTCAACCTTACTTATTTTTCTTTCCAGGGAGTCTGAAGATACAGTATTGCTAGTTCTCAAAGAAATCTATCAAACCCAGGGTATCTTCCTTGATCAGCCTTTACAGTAAAAGTGACCCGTCTGTGCTGCTCCATGTAAGTTTTGTCATGTGTTGAGGATAGTCCTCAGATTGTTAACATGTTAGAAGAATCTTGGGCACTTTGAGGTCTTTATAAATACACTTTCCTGTTTGTCATCAATATCTAGATTACTGTTCATTTTTAGAAGGAGTCTGGTTAAAATTCCTGGGGGGAAAACATAATTATAGCTCACTTGAGAAGATTAAGTTTATGTCAGTTTTGACAGTGATTTGTCCAATACTATTTGGTATTTTTAGGTCTAGACTCAGAATCACAACAGTTCTGCTCATCTGAGCATTAGCATGTAAAGTTACAAATCAAGTCGCAAACAGCCCATTCTGCGGTTTCAGTGCCTTTTCCGTGTACACTAGTCTGTATGCTCGCTGGTGGCTTTTCCCTCTCCGCCTTCCGTTGTGCATGCTGACCTCTTTCCCACTCTCTTCCCTAGAGACGTTGAAGGATCCTCCCCCAGAAAACCCACCTGTTTGCTGCTAGAGTGTTCCTCTCCTCAGCTGCATGCTGCCTGCCATTTACTTACCATATGGGTTTTGGAAAAGAACTTTCCTTTTGAATTGAGTGGAAAAACAATGGGAAGACCCTATTACTGGTTGCCTTTAAACACTTGCCATCCTTCATGGCTGAATGCTCTGCATCTTTAATTTTTAATGACAGTATATATGTGCCACAGCTTGTTGCTTTATCAATTGAGATGATGTACAGTGTGTTTGGGTTTGATTGCTTTTTGGTCAGTAGAAATTTTTTCCAGGAAATGATTACATATTTTGGAAACCTTGTAGTTTGTTGAGAGTCAGAAGGCATTTTGGGGATACATTCATCTCGTCTGTACTTGAAAACCAAATCTGAGTGGCTATAGAAATGATTTTGTCAGGCAGGCATTTCAATTTTTTTTTTTACACTAATCTTTCTTTCCTTATGTGTACTGGATGAAGATAGACTAAGATGTAGCTTTATTTTTTTTTTAAATATTAAATGTAGTTATGATATTATTTCCTTATAGGATAGATTCCTTAATAGAAATTACAAATATTGTTTCTTGGTTTTACACTGTTATTACAGCTGCTATAAGAATATAACGATGATTTAGTTGATATTCGATACAATTTTATAAAGCAAAGATGCTGTATATATGCAGGGTCTTCCCTTTTATATCATTGGGAGACTCAAGATATATTTGACTTACTGGATAGTAGCTTCTGTTCTTATGTTTAGGGAAAAGTTTTAAGTGCTGACAAATCTCACGTAGCAGCCTTTACTGGCTGTTAGGCTAGAAATCGTTATATGTCCAGTGAAATAAAGCTTGAGTCACCTACCTTATCTGGGTGAAGGCAGTTGTCCTTTTAAAAAACATTTTGTGAACATCATTGCCTCCCAACTACCCATAGCCCAGAGTTCTTACTGAAAGGGCACTTGGCAGTGTTGGTTGAACAGGTAGATATAATTCCATTTTTTTTTGAAAGGAAAAACCTCTGCATATAGGATATCAGGAATAGCTCTTGCCAGCTCAGCTGGTAAAATGTTTACCTTGAAGAGGACAGGTAGGTGAATAGCCTCCAAGGCATCTGCCCACCACTCTGCAGTGGGTATTTTCTTTCTAATTGGTCACAGTTAGTCAGTATCTCAGCAGTTCACTTTATGATGGTCCTTTATATGCCCTCTCAAATTTCACAGGCCCATTTATTATTGAGTAGCATATATAGACAAGCTGTTATTTGTAACTTTCATAGGTAAGTATATTGTATCCAAAGTACTGACATTTACTGTTCACTTGAACCATCCCCCAGGCAGGCAACAGTGGTCTTTATCCCTTTCTGGAGAGGAAAGGGCAGGTTGGCTTTATTCTGAGATGGTGAAAGAGAGGTTGAGTATAATCAGAGGACAGCCTTTCCTTGAGTATCTGCTTCTGTAAGTCTAATGTTGATGTAGCCACTGAGTTGTTCCAGATATGTGGACCATTTTCCTTGTTATATAGACCCTGAGTTTCAAGTAAGGGTTTGTAGGAAATAAGCAACACTCACTAGAAAGGGGAAGCTCTTTCAAATTGCTGTCTTCAAATTTAGATCTACTCTCCATTTTAGCAGAATAGGTCCTGTTCAAGAGTAAACCAAAGGACAAGAATGAGTTCCTTCAACCAGAGGAACAGCGTGGCCCTGGAGAGCTGGCCAAGCCTCTGCACGGTAGAGCTGTAGAGCTTATCTGTCCATCTGTGATACTATTATGGGGTCATAAGCTCGACTTAAAAATTTTAATTTAGTTGTATATTATTTGCACTATTTCAGTTGTATCATGTGCAATCTCTTGACCAAACCTACTTTACTCTGGTACACTATTTTTGTTTTTACTTATGCCCAGCTGCAGAGTGAACATTGCTTATTTTAGAAGAGATTGTTTGCACAGAAAGATTAATAGCACTGATTAGCTATCTAATATTCTGCACTTTTGAAATGTTTTTTTAAATGATTATATTTAAAATTTTAGTGCGTACTGAAATAAAAGTGTATTGACTTACTTTTACCTGCCTTTATCCATAGTAAAGAGAATAAACATTTTCCCTCTTATTAAAATAAGTTTTAAAAATAAAAGTTTTAGACAAAGAACAAATATTAAAGTTCTGTTCCTTGGATTGGTATATTCACTGGCATAGGCAGATACAGGTCAGAATTTAAAGTGTGACAATTATAAGGTAAACATTGAGACAGTTCTCAAATATTTTTAAACATCAACCACAACTCAAACACTTCCTTCAGATGGGAAATCTGGTATTGTACCTTGAAAATTTCCCCTTGACACTTGAGAGTGAGGTCCAACTTACCATTAAGGGAGGGCTTCAGAGATGGTGGCTCACTACCATCCTTTCAAGAATCCAGTTTAATACATCAGGCTCCTCCGGAGGCTTCCTACCCTTCTTCCAAATATCCCCTCCTAGAACTTCGCTCCAGAAGTACCATTATGAATCTAAATTGTAAAATTTCTGGTCTGCTTGTGTTTTGCTTCGCTGGTCATGACAGAACTAATTTTAAGCCATGCTTTCACAGACATAAGAAGGAGCTGTCTGTTAATAGGTAGGTCATGTTAAAGCAGTGGACTTCCTGTACAAGAAAAAACATACTCAATTGGGAGTATCAAGTTTACTGACGGAAAAGATGCAGTGATAATGTTATAGGGGAAAATCCATGTAGACAAGATCATACATAAACTGCAAATACAATAAACTGTCAGGTGTAGGTCCTACAGCATCTGGTTTGACCTTCTAAAACTGTTCCATATATCCAGTTGTGAAAGAGGACAGAGTAAGATTAATTTGTCTTCCAGTAAGTCTTTGTCATTTCTCCTTCCTGCCTTAGCCAGTGGCACAGTTGGGCTATTTGGGCAGATCTTTGATAATGAATACAGGACAGCCTTTAAGCCACAGTTGAAGGACAAATGAGGTAGAAACAAGTTACCTGTTTTTAGTACGGAAACATTCCTGATAACTATGTTCTTTTTTAATTAACTTTGATAATTGCTTTCTAGTTCACTCAGTAGAACAACAGATTGTTTATGCTCACGGAATTCAAAAGCCAAACTGGACTGAGATCAGCTATGTGGATCATAGTGATAAATTAAGCAAGATTGTATATTTTCTTATGCCCTAGATTTTATGAATTTGGGCTGTGTGAAGTAGAAATTAACTTTTTATTATTTCATTGATAAAATGGGGCTATGCAAAGGCTTTTTGTGACAAGATCCTTCTACAACATTTAAATTAAATGTAAAAACATTGTAGATCAGGGTATTCTAATCTGAACTCTAGGATGTTCTGGTGGGATAGGGGTAGGGATTGTCCTGCTAACCTAAAGGAAGTTCAAATCCCAGAGCAGCTCCGTGTGAGGAGGACAGGCATTCTTTTCCCGTGACTTTGCTGGAGGGTCAGCAGTGAGTGGCTTCCAACTCAACAGCAATGAGTTGAATCTGAACCAGACTAATAAGCTTTTGGAACATTATAGAGAGAGCCCATTTATCCCAATGTCTGGTGGTGCACAATGTGGAAAAGGACCTTGAGTCTCCATGGTGGATCCGTGTGTGGTGGCAAATACTCAGAAATTCCGTCTTGTGTGTGGTCCGTTTAGGAGAGGCTGGGTCAAGTATTCTCCACAAGGATAGAACAATTTTTACACCTCAAAACGGTGAGAATCACCAAGCTTCTTCTCTGCAGTGGGATGTGCAAGTTTATCCTGAAATGGTTTATGGCATTCTGTATCCGTCAGGGGAGGGTAATACTGCCTATAGCAGACATAGGCAAAAGTCAGGCCAATTATTGATCCAACAAGGACATCTGAAGGGAGAATAGTGAGTGAAAACATTATCATTAGGTAGTGAGTTCTCTAAACATCAAATAAAATAATATCTTCGGTAAGTATACTAAGCCTTGTTCAGTGGGTTGTGACTTACAGCAACCCCCTTGTACAAGAGAATGAAGCCTGGCCTGGTCCTACAGTGGTCCTTGCAGTGGTTGCTGCTTAAGCCCCTTGTTTTGTAGTCTTGTTGACAGTCTTCTTGTTTGTTTTTGCTGAACCTCTACCAAATATTATGTCCTCCTCCAGGGAATATTCCTTCCTGATAACAGATCCAAACTACGTGAGGCCTAGTCTTATTATTCTCTTTTCTAAGGAGCATGCTGGCTGTACTTGATGACAAATTGGCAGTCTATGGTATAGGTAATAATTTTTTTTTTCAAGCACCATAATTCAAAGGCATTCAAATGAGAACTTGTAAATTCAGAAGAGTAACAAATGTTCATTTGATGCTACTAGTTACCCTTTTTAGCATTCAAGAACTTCCAGAATTTGCAAAGTATTAGTTTATTCTTCCAAACAGGGCTCCCCCAGGACCTCTTGGCAGTACTATTGACAGGGAATTGTGGATTTTCTTTTAAAATAATCTGACTTTCAGTTTTAATTTTTTTACTCTATAGCTCAATTTAAATTTGTTTTACTTATAACTTCATGGTTTTGAGGTTTATTTCTAAAAACTTCTTGTAAATGGACTTTTCTTTGAATTTGTTTTGCTTCAAAATAATATATATAATAATGAAAACAAATAATTGAGAAGCCCCTCTTTGTAAAGCTGCCTCTTTAAAAAAATATGTTTTCGCACCTACTCAAATATGAATGCATCGGCCTAAGACACCCCACCACCACCACCACCACCACAGGGAAGAGAGGAGGGAACCCGTTCGCTTCCCCAGCATAGACACCTTACTACTCACCTTGCCAGTGATGCTTATAGTCACAGGTGCGGGACAGTGCAATCACAGCTGCAAACAGCAGAGGCGACAGAAAGGCACAGAAGCGCCACGATTCCCCACGGCCTTGTGGTGTGAAGCAGTGTAACTTACCTGCCAGGTAGAAGGAAGCAAAGGCCAGACCAGCAAATGCAACTAAAACAGGGAAAACCTGTAAGTTTAAGTCTTTTAAAGGTAGCTCCACTTAACTCCTCTGCAAAAAGGAGGCAGGAATCATGAACATGTTTTACCTTCTTCCCCCCCTTTCATATTTTTCTACTATCGATTCTTTATTAGGAGGGGAAAAGAATAAATGAAAAATGAAGGACTTAATTTTTGCATCTCAAGTTAGTATTTTACTTGAAAATAGTTTTCAGAATATTAGCTGTGCTTTGGGCATGTCATTTAACTTAATGCTTTAGTCTCCTCACCTAGAAATATAATAAAAATCTAGTGTCCACCTTAACGTGCTACTGTGAGATCAAAGAAGTGTCTGAAATGCTGTTCAAAGCAATTAGCACATGGTAATGCTTCTAAAGGTTATTATTTTTATGACCACTACAGTATTGCAGGATGGATACAAAGAAAAAGTGATAATAAAATGTGGTCTCATAAAGGTAAGAAAGATGCCATGTGGTTTTATAGCCTCCAGAAACCAGCCGGAAGGTCAGCTCCAAGTCTGTTCTGACTCAACAGTGATGATTTTTTTTTAAACTGATACAAAGGTAACTACCTCCTCTGCTCTTGAATATTTATCATAAATGAGGATCAGGATGGAGACATCTTAGTTATTAAAGAGTGAAGTTCTTCTACTTTCTAGAGTCCAGTAAAGAGCAATCAGATGTTAGCATCCACACAAGAAGCTACCTAAGGTAAATGCAATGATCCAAATATAAGGATAGAAGTAGAGTTGATATGCTGTTCATACAGGAGGAATGTCCACTAGGAAAGCTCTTGCGGCCCTCATTCACCACGTCCTTGTCCCCTGTGCACATCAGGTCAGAATGGGCTTCACCATCGGGGAAGCAGCGGTAGAAGAAATCTGGGCGTGGCCTGGAAGAAATTAGCAGGTATGAACATAAATGGTGTGCAACTCCAAAAATCAGCTATGAGTAATCCTGTCATATAGTATCTCAGGCAAAATAATGGACAGTATGAAACTAGATACCACAGTAGTGGAAAAGCATTATTTCCCAGGTTAACATTTTTATTATGGGAGGGGGGGAAAAAGCATTCATCCTATGGTGGTTTTTTTAAGGCAAACAGTGACTAAAGCTGCAGCTGCAGCTGCACAAGGGTGATCATGAGGACAAGACTCAGCTGAGCTTGTCAATAGGAAATGCTGTTTGTGGCAGAGAAGGGCTCTAGTGCCACCTTTAGTAGGACTGTGGGAGAAGGGAGAAAGATTAGCCTAAGAATAAAGAAGAAATGATGTAGAGAAGAAATAATTCTGGCACACACTCTTCAGATTTCTTCTGAAGAGGTTAAGGCTCTTCACCCTCAACCTTGACACTTACTGACTCTTGGCACTTACCTCCCCACTATCAGTTTTATTGTGTTGGTAAAGACACCATTGAGAGCTAGGGCAAGGCTGGCAGCTGGAAAGCAAAGACAATCGGTTACTATTTTGCTGTCTCACAGGGCAGCAAGAAAGGACTAAGGAGGTAGTGCCTAACTCATGGCAGCCTTGACTCCTAGTGACCTTGTGAACAGTGGACAGGACTTTTGTGACCCACAGGGTTTCCATTAGCCAATTTCTACTAGATCAGAAACTGGGCATTTTTAACTTGTCTTAGAATACTGTGCTGAAACGTGTTCATCATAGTAGTAGCACGGAAGCTTCCATTGGCTGATGGGAAGCTGCGCCCAAGTTTCCAGAATGGAAGGTGAGAATTCTAACACTGAACCACAAATACATTCAGAAATACTTCAGGAATACAGAATTCAGTGGTTTTCACACAACTAAGACAGGACAACCCTGGCAGAAAAAGAGCTGGCTCTTACCCAGACAGGCTTGTTTGCTGTCTCTTGAGTCTGCCTTCTTGAGACATTTGACCAGGAGGATCAGTGACAGTGGAGAGAGAAATGCAATGATCTGAAACAAAGTATGTCAGTGGTAAAAGAAAATATGTCAGAGCAGCCCTCACAGGGTTGGGAGGGGAGGTGACACAGCAGGTGCTGTGATGCCTCCTGCTGCCCACCATGTGCACAACCACAGAAACCCTTCTTTAGCCAAAAAGGAATTTGTCATCTTGCTCTCTAGAGTCTTAAATTTTTAGGTACATTGAAAACAAAATGGGAAAAAAAAAGGGGAGCTCAACCCCAGAGAGATCATTTTGGAGCAAGAACTCCCTCTTTCCCTCTTAAGCACGGCACGAGATTATTAGGGGTCAGAAGGTAGGGATACTCTCCCACGCACAAACATCGGCTTGGTGGGGAAATACTCTGCTTCCACATAGGGATTCCGGTACAGCCACATCTCCTCTGGCTGGATGAGCCTCTGGAAGGGAGCCAGCAGCTCTGTCACCCTAAGAACAGAAAGGAGCACCATACATTAGCATCGCCGCCGCCCGGGTTCCTCTGGGATCCCCATCTCGGCCTGGACCCCCAGGCTTCTAGGGGCGCCAGACGGAGAGTGAAGAAGGACTTGCTTGCCGGCCCACAGGCTCCATCGGTAGAATGCTTACAGAAAGACCGCGAAGAGCGCGATCCGCACGCCCACCTCGGCCCCCAGGGCCGCCGCGGCCGCCTTTCCCATCCCGCCCGCGCTCGGCTGACGCGCTGACGTGGCTGCGGGCGGCGCGGCCGAGACGCGGAGGCGGGCCCGGGAAGGAGGAGGTGGGCCCGGGGCGAGGAGAGTGAAAACGGGGGCGGAAGGAGGGAGGTGGTCCCTGTGTGGTGGGAGTGGTCATCGTCGGGGAGGTTGCTTGCTAGCTCCATTTCCCCCGGTGAATCTACAATCAACAATCCCAGAAACTGCCTGGGAAGCCAGAAGCTTTGCCTTTGCTCTAGGGTGAGGGCGTCACCTAGGAAAAGCAAGCAGGGGTGAATGCCCACGTGTCCAGCCAAACAGCAAGTAAACTTTGGTACTGTGAAATCAGTGGGATGAAAGTAATGTGCTAGTGTCTAGGTTTTCTCATACTAAAACAAGGGGAAACATTCTGTACGAATTTTTCCTCCAAGTATAAACTCAAAACTCCACTTTTCATTCCAAGTTTCTTCTCAGTAGCATAAATGTATTTTGCATAACGGTATACTTGGCTCTCATAAAACACTTGGCTGTGCTGCAGGCCTCCCTGGCGAGGTCTGGAGAGCCTTGGCCATTCTGCCCATCCCCTCCCCCAAGGATGGTCCATTGCCCAGTGAGTTGTACCAAGAAACTGCATACAAAAAACAAGGCTAGAAATTTAATTTGTAACATACAGGACAATTTATTGGAGTCAATCTCAAGCAAATTCTGAAATCAGTGGAATGTCATTAAAAATCTTTCCAAATTAATCCTCAAGAAAGCAAAACACATTTGAATTCCAAAGTATTTGTAAAATAAAAAAGGCAACATCTCAGTAAATATAATGTACAAAATTATATATTCCTACCAGCACACATATCAGTAAGAAGCTTAAATATTACAGGCAATCCTAAATACACTATAACGAGTCAACAATAAGCTGTCTATATACAGGTCAACCAAGTTTTACACATTTCACACTATGCAATAAAACATAGGCCAATCAACAAAATCCCCAAAATAGCATGTATCTTGAAGTCTGTGGCAACATGAAGTCATTGTACAGTAATGCCCTGGTGGACATTCCCAGGGAAATGTAACACTAATCTGTTAGTGTCAAGAGCTTCGAGCCAAGTCATAGAAACTCAAAATGAGATTGACTTTAGTGAATACTGATGTTTTGTTATTAAAGACTCAAGTCTCAAGTGATTTAGGCAAAATAACATTTCACAGGATCTACAAAAGTTTATTACAGATAAAGTACAGAAAAAACTGACCTACAAAGGTCATTATCAGATAAAGATCACAAGGAAATGGGGAAAAAAAGGGGTCTGTTGTGCAATATCACCCAATGTAGACAAAAATCAATTTCTCATATCAACTCCAACTATGCACACACTTTTATATAAAAGACAGCCTTAGTATCAGCCAGCTGAAATCACCATTTAGCAACTTGGTCACCAGTGGCAATGTGATTATCTTTTTTAACACAGAGTATATAACCGAGTAAATGACATAAAGAGCAATGTTACTGACAATGAAGTAGAAGTTAATTTTTCCAGTCTGCTTCTAAACTGACAAGAATATCTTATAATACCATCTGCAGGTAATCTGAGGCATACTTCAGAGCCATTCACATGTATCAGCAGTCTGTGGGTGGGAGGAAGGGAGCACTGGATCTACAGACACTCAGCAGATGCAGTGATGTCATATAAGAAAAACTAAGAACTGAATAAGTGATTTTGACAAATATTTGTCCTTTTATTTGTATGTTAATGACTTTTTAAAGAGGTTTTTGAAAGTAATTGTCCCCTTTCCCATACCTGATGTATGGAAAAATGTATGTATGCTACAATCACCTGATCTTGCCACTTAATCAGTGGAGGACAGATGGAAACAGTTTTTGAAAGATACAGATTACATCCAACATCAGAAGTGTAAGTGCAGCTCCCCAATTCCCTCCTCCCTCCCTGGAACCCCAGGCATACATGTAAAGGAAAGAAGTGCTTAGGGACAGGGCTGACAAAATGAGAAACATGATACATAGAAAATATTCATAAAATGCTGCTGGTAGCTCATGCAGGAGTCCCTTCCTAAAATGTGTACCTTAAAGTTGAGCTATCTACTCTGAACAAAGACCTGTCAGCAGAACTTTAGCTTTAACTCAAAGAGAATAGGGTATTTATTTTCCAAACAGTACATAAGCAATGCTTCTACTTCATAAATGTAAAAGGAAAAAACTGTAAAATGAGAAATCTGAGGAGTTTCAAGTACTTAAGAAACCTGAATTCAATGAGGCAGAGGTCTCAAGTTAAAGTGACTACTTCGTACCTGTCGTAAACATTATCCCCCCATGGTCCCATTTATAACCCCTTTTCTCTCTGTACCCCCAACCCCAGATAAAAGTTGGTAAGATTTCAGTATATATATATCTCCAACTTTTCAATGTTAGCTAAATTTGTGGCAAAGCTGTCTAATTTTATCTATTTCCTATCCTACCTAAGAATGCATTCTTTTTTTGTTTATAACCAACCAGAGGCCAAATTTGTGAAGACTTTAAGCCAAAAGTTGTTGCATGTGATCACTTCCTATCTGCAGTAACTTGGACAATTTGGGGATGGCTGGAAGCATAAGACAGTGATTCAAGTCTGTTCTGATCTGCACTGCCCAGCAACAAAGCAAGCTCTCCAGGTATACTCCATCTCTTGTAAAAGGATGTTAGATTCAAGCTATTAGAATGCCATGGTAACTTGTTTTCTTCTCTTAGGACACTAGCTGTTGAAACACCTTGACATTAAGGTGAATGTTAAAAGAAGAGCTCTGTATTTAAAAACTAGGTGAAATATAAGCAACAATGTCTTGGGCAGCTCAGAGATTACATTCTTCCTAGATGACATTTCTGCTTTACAAACTGCAGACCTGGGACACTGTTTGAGCTCATTCCATGCAAGAAATTACTCAAAAAAGAAACTACTTCATGGACAAAGCCTACCCTACTGAGTGAGAGTCCTTTACATAATTAAAGAATCCGTATCTAAGGTCCACAGTATTTATAGGCATGTTTCCAAATACTCAGTGGCAAAGTAGAAGTGAACTGGAATTTCCATAATTAGTTTTCACCTATGTTCTTGATTTGGTCACAGGGAAATCTATTTCAGCAATTAAAAAATTCTACTCAGTTCTGCTTAAATAATTCAGCCCATTCCATGGTTTCTTACTCAGTGTCGTTGATTCTGACTCATAGTGGCCCCACGTGGTAGAGCAGAACTGCCCCATAGTGTTTTCTGGGCTGTTATCTTTACAGATGTAATCTCTCTTGGCACAAAGGGGTGGGTCTGAACTTCCAACCCTTCTTTTAGCAGCTTACCACTACCATCAGGGCTCTTTTTCTACCACTTCCACGTGATCAATTTTAAGACTATCAAGTGGGAACTTGTTCTAAAACAAAAATGAAAACTCACCTCACTCCTAACTCCAGCCTTGATTTCATATTAATGCGGTGAATCACAGCTTCCAGCTGTTTCAGAGTCGCAGGAATGCGGCTCCTATCGCACTCTGCTCAGATGCCCGGACTGCACTCACCCTTGATGGCTTCTGACCATTTCCTCTGTAGCTTTTACTAGTCCTCGTTCTGAAAATTTACGCTGATTACCAACAATCTTATATTCACTTCTTTCTTCAAGGAATTAAGGAGATTTAAAGAACAAAATAAAACCCACTATAATCCCATTGATTATTAATTTCATTTTTGGACAAAAATAAAACCCAACCACTTCTGCTCTGATCACTAAGAGATTTAAAAGATAACAAATACCAACTTCAAACTATGAGGGAGGAGTCCATCTTTTGGAACATTTCACTGGTGTTCCACAAACACGCACAGTGTATTTCTACGTACAAGAAAGTATAACTTGCTCTCAACCTGCTTCTATAACCTGCAGTTGAAAATTCAAGCAAGCAGGTCAAAGTGAGGAGGTGTGAGGAGCGGTCCTTGGCACTGGTATCATTGAAACAACACTTTAGACCAGTAAAGAACTCTTAAGGACAAAGACACAACAGCTATGGGGAGCTATTTTGGTTTTACCCTGATTACTGAAATGGCATATCAAAAATGGCCCCCCAAAAAATAATCTCAGCTGAGCTATGTTATAAAACCAAAATGTGACACAATGAAGAAGTTGCATAAAAATACTTAAACCTAAGGTATCTGCAGTATATAGAATATACCCTGGCTTGCCATATAAAATTTATATTAAATTGTACTAAGTCCAAAGCAAAGAGTTTAAGATTTTATGTTGGGTATAAGCTTTAACAAGTGTTGTATTTGGAATAGTAAATGAAATACTTCATGTTAGTAAATTTATAAAAGCAAACATTTACCATATATATATATATATAAAATTAAATTTTAGTACGACAAAACCTAGATATTTTTAAATTATTTTAAAAGGACATCAGCTATATAATTGCTCAAAAGCAAAGATTAGTGTTTTGGTGCGATTTATTTCATGTTACTTGTAGCAATTATATTTGGTAACATTGTAGCAATTTCCATTTTCTCTTTCTTCAAGGACCACATCTAATTAACAGCATTATTTGAGGCCCAACAAATAACCTCAGAGTTAACTGTTGGAATCAGGCAAATGGCAGTTTAGGAGCTTAATTAAAGAACTGTAGTGTTTTTTTTTTGTCTGTTTTGTTTTTTTTTTTAAAGAGAAAATCCAGTATAATTGCACATAATACATACACAAAAAAATGAGGCACAACCAGCTTATTTTCTTCTAAAGAAGAGCTTTAAATTGATAACACACATGATATAACTGAAGGAGTAAGATAGAGTCATCTATCATCCCTACCTTCATGAAGTTACTAGATTTGCTCTTAGGGAAAAGGTGCGGCTACCAGATACCAGCAACTGTAAGCAGTCAAAATTCACAGGGCAAGTTAACGCTTCTTCAGACTAACTCTAAGCTTCTACTTAGTACAGTGTTACACAATGTCTGACATGACTAATACAGGGAATACCAGTATATATAT